ATAGATAGATAGATAGATAGATAGATAGATAGATAGATAGATAGATAGATAGATAGATAGATAGATAGATAGATAGATAGATAGATAGATAGATAGATACCGAGAGGAAAGGGGGTAAAGAAAATTAAGTATGAATTGCACTCTTAGAGTACATTTCGCTCAACCTTCTTAAAATTACATAACAATTGAGACTTATATATTAGGACATCAGCAGACATTTTTCTCTAGCTACACGTGCCACCACAACCCCTTCATCGTTTACCGGTTGTCATTAGTAACAGGGATCAGTGCATGCAGGTTTGATCAATACCAACACTCCCTGTCCATTCCAGACACCATAGTCAGAAGCTTGTACTTGATTTGATCTACAAGGAATACACTTTAACCAGGGACCTTGTGCGCACTTCAGTTGTAATGCGGATCGCACTCAACACAGGCCGTCCTTGGGATCTGCGATCAGAAGTCGATCCTTGAGGCCGCCTTGGGGCTGCCTTGAGTTTTGTTCTGAGGCCCCGCTGAGGCGACCCTGGCACACACACGACACAGGCCAGGACTGTGGAAACCTAGTGCATACCATCGTGGCGACAAACCACAAATCTAGCAATAAGTCTATATTTGAAAAAGAACAAATAGGACTTTGGTCCAAAAGATGGCTTCTCCATATGTCTAAACACACAAACATCAACTTGCTTCGTGAATTGGTGGATTATTCTTCAGACTACCGGAATTATTGACGAATGGACGAGAGCACGTTCGCCAAGTTGCTGCATATCATAATGAGTGAGACAATTTCCCCACATGAGAGATTGACTAAAACATTAATATTCCTTGCACCACGCATATCATACGAGGAATATTTTGTAATGACACTGTTCCTAACGGCATTTGCGTCAAGGCTTTTCTCGTAACTAACGATCTCCTCCTACGCTTTGTCTTTGAGTTGTCTGTTGCCGTCCTCTTTGCACTTAATTTTTTTAAAGGCATGATGTTTTTTGTACTATGTCAATAAAGTCCAAAACATTTTCTTTTGACAACGGTGCCATTTTCTTTCATTAAAACACTTACTCAGCACACTGGCGTCATGGAAATTTCAGGTGAGGACAGAATTCAGACTGGCCTTGTCCAGTCCTTGCACAGGCCAAGGATTTGTTTTGATTTCGGCCTGGGCTTTACCCGCGCTGGGCCAGCACTGTGTCTGTGTGAGGTCTGCGCAGTCCAATAAGAGTCCTCAAGGACGGCCTGTGTCGAGTGCGGCCCGCTTAAGTGGAGACATTTACCGCCCGCCTTAGGCTAGTACCGCACTACGACTGTTTGTCCTGGGACAGACCCGTCAGGATTTTGAAACCTTTGATTTAGAGTGTAATGTACCGCACCTATTACGACAGGTTACGACAGGACATTGTTGTCGATTTGAGTCCCGAGCAGTTGTGAATTGCTACAAAATAGGTGGGAAGGGACTATCCCAATCCCGGGGTAATATCGTCTGTGATTATGGAGAAATATAGCCGCCTACCGCATTAGGACAAAGCTGTCCTAGACTTGGTGGCCGCCTGATGTCAAGATCGTGGGGCTTGCACGTTGTGACGTAGAATCACTTCAAAATTTGCCGCCGCGCAGGATTAAACTTTGGGCACAAAATTTTAAAAATAATTATCATATCTCAAACGCGATTTCATATTCGAAATCAGCGTCTCAAAATAGGAAAAATGTCTTGCGGGGAACCTGATTTGATGAGATACTTGCATTGCACTGACAGCTGAATTTGGGCACTCTTAAAAGCATCTGTAAAATTCTCTGAATAGCTGTGCGTTCACACCAAACCCTCGGACGAGCGACAGTCGTTCTAACGATAACGGCCGACCGACCAAATCTACTAAAAAATCTCGTATCCCACATTTTACCTTCAGACCAAAGCAACGACAACGACCGAGTGTTAGTCTCGTCAACCCAGTTTGTTGTGTAAGAGTTAGAACGACTGTCGCTCGTCTGAGTGTTTGGTGTCCGCTTCCCCAAATAAAGGCCGGTGTCCACTGCGATGGACACCAACCGACCCGATTCCGTCCGTCTCTCAGATGAAAAGGAGGACCGTCTATTTCCTAAGAAATCAGCGAAAAGTCTGTTTGGCTGTGTCAACAGACACGACACGACACGCCCCGACAAAAGACGTGTCGGTTTAAAAGCCGCTTGCTCAATTTTAGCCGGGCCGGGTCGTGACTCATGAGCTATAGTCCCCGCAGGAGCTTTAAAATATTCTAATTTTGAGTTGGGATTAAAATTCTAACCTCATAGTTGTAATATGCGCTTCAAAATCAGTAAAGTCTACGAGTAAACCACCTGGTTTAAATGAATATTAACAATTTTACCAATTTTCCTTTAAAAACCCATTCGTTTCTTATTCCCGCCTTGGGTTCATTGACCTCGACTATTTATAGCCCTGTACAGAGGACACAGCCTTGGGACACAGTGTGTGGAATAGGACGCCATTAAGCCAACAGACTAGACGTGTCCTGTCCGAACAGGCGGACACACAAGACCGGAAACAACCCGACGATTTTCTTCCTCCCGGCAAAAAATCGGACCGTGTCCGTCTCAGTGGACACGTAGGGTAAGTGCAGAACTTCCGACAGAGACGGGAAATTTTCTTCTCTAAAATGTTTCCTTTCACCGCCTTTCCTGCTCTCTAACAATGTTATGTCGTCTGCTTTCATTCCTACTTTCTGCCCCACTCCTTCACCTCCTTTACCCCTTCCTCTCGGCTCCTGACTCTTTCTGCATCCTTTCTACTGCTACTCCTTGGCTCCTTCTTACTACTGTCTTTCAGCCACACCCCTGATCGTAAGGTAGGTAAAATCCAACACCTCGCCTTCTCGGACAAGGGCAAAAAAAAAATCTCGGAGGTCCCGTGTGAAAGTGGCGCACGTTAAAGATCCCTTAGTGGTCCAAAATCGATAAGAGTAGGCTTCGTCCGCAACCGGGAATTTTTTTTTTATTTCCTACTAACTGAAAATGTTTAACGTGTCCCGCGTGCTCATATGATCGTATGCGTTGCAAATGCCGCAAAACACTTATCGAAACAAAACCAAAAGAGTGCAGAACAGTGAAGTCGTCTTTTAAAAAACGTAATAAGCCGAGCGTGATGTTACAAGTGAGAAACGTACGTTACCGTACGTGTGAAAAAAGTCACAATTGTTGTAGCTCTGAATTTTTCAGTTTTTAAAAGTAAGAAAGAATGATTTAACATCGATGGCACAAGGGGTGACTGACAATGCTGTCAGGCGGGAAAGAACACACAATATCCGATCACTTTGGAAGTGTTTGTCTCAACTCTCTTTCTTTCCACCTCTCTTTTGTTCCTCTCGATTCTAACCCATGAGGCAAGCGCACGTCGTCCAAAGACAGACTTTTTTTCACATCTCGCAGAGAGCAGAATTTAAAGAACATAATAAGCAAAACAAAAACAAGCAAAACAAAACGTTTTTACAAAATATGAAAAAGCAACAAATTGAAACAAAGCAACAACAGCAACAACAAAAGAAACAGATGAAACAGCAATAACATTTACTAACGTTTGACTCACTGTTCAGACATTTCTGTATTAGTATAGTTGAAGGTCCAGACTTTAGCAGGCTTTTCCCGAGGCGAATAAACATTCACTGTCTGCTGGACTCCTGTGCCCTCTCCGTTCATGTAGATACCTGCCACTAAATTAGAACCTTTTTTGATATTGGAAATAAGCGTTACAAAGGTGGTGCCCCACGTTTGCTCGGATACTGCGGGAAGAAAGGCGTTTGAGTTTGAGTTTGAGTAAAAAGAAGCATATCAACACAATAACGGTCATTTAGTGCAGATAAGAAGACAGATAGACAGAAACATAAAGAAGGTAAGAAAAGATGTAGGACCTACCACTGGCGGAAGAAAGCTGCTTGCTTTGAAGAAAACGGCAGAAGAAAACAATCCGACTGCCGTTCTCTCAACTAAATCACGATTAAAACCATTATCCTCAACTGAGTAGTAATAGCAACAACAAAATCAACAATATTAAGAAAGCAACAAGAACAAATTTAACAACATTATCACCAAAGAAGAAGAAGAAGAAGAAGAAGAAGAAGAAGAAGAAGGAGAAGAAGAAGAAGAAGAAGAAGAAGAAGAAGAAGAAGAAGAAGAAGAAGAAGAAGA